TTTATTTGTTTAAACATTGCTGGAGTAATAGAAAATTTAAATGCACTTATCAAAGACCAAAAGTTCAGAGATTAGATACTATGTTAGAGTCATTCCTTCGAATTAATTTTGAAATGTTTTCAAAAACGAAGAACTTGCTGGGGAGACAATTATCAAGATCATAACAAAGTTCCCCTAGAAGATTAACAGAGCTTGGAGTTCATTGTGGATCTTTGCCTGTGTGGAGAAGAAACAGCCAAAGTAGAGGAAACAAAACTGTCTCTATAGGCAAATTAAATTTTAGTGGATGTTCATGTGCACAGGTGGGCAGCAGCACCTTAGTCTAGTATGCTGTGATTGGGATCAGAGTCCTTTTCCATAAATGCAGCAGCATTGAGCAATATAATTCCACCATCTAAAATCTGACTGCTTAATTTTTTTTTTTTTTTTTTTTTTTTTGAGACAAAGTCTCGCTCTGTTGTCCAGGATGGAGTGCAGTCACACAATCTTGGCTCACTGCAATCTCCACTTCCTGGGTTGAAGGGATTTGCCTGCCTCAGCCTCCCAAATAGCTGGAATTACAGGCATGTGCCACCCTGCCCAGCTATTTTTTGTATTTTTAGTAGAGACAAGGTTTCGCCATGTCGGCTAGGCTGATCTCCAACTCCTGACCTCAAGTGATCCACCCACCTCAGCCTCCCAAAGTGCTGGGATTACAGGTGTGAACCACCACACTCAGCCTTGTTTGCTTACTTTACAAAATAGCTCTGTGTGTGTGTGCGCGTGTGTACATGGTAAAGTTTACAATGAAATACACGTGTTTAGTATACATTCAGTGAGTTCTAATAAATGTATACATGTGAGTGCCTCAAACCCTTATCAACACATAAAGCATTGCCATCACCCCAGAAGCAATGGCAGTTCTGAATTAGTGCATTAGTTTTCCATATTTTGGGACTTCATGCAAATGGAATCATATATAATATGTCGTTTTTTTGGATAAGGCTTCTTTGACTCAGCGTAATGTTTTCCATTCATTATCATCCATATTGCATGTATTAATAGTCCATTCCTTTTGATTGTTGAATAGTATAACCATTATATAAGTATTCTACACTTTCAGTTGGGTTGTTTTCTATTTTCCTGTTGATGGACACTTGGCTGTTTCCAGTTTTGAGTCAAATAAAGTTGCTAAGGACATTCTAGTATAAGTCTTTTTGTGGACACATTTTTATTTCTCTTGAATAGATGTCTATGAATGGAATTGCTGAGTCATGGGGAAGGGAAATGTAAATGTCAGGATTTTTTTCCCCAGGATTATTGTCCCACTTCACACCTCCACCATCAAAATACGAGAGCACATCCTTGCTGCCATTAGATGTTATCGGTGACCTCTTATTTTAGTTTTAATTTGCATTCTTCTGGATGACTAATGACATTAAGCATTTCATAGTTCTTTCCTGGCCATGTATATATCTTCCTTTGTAAAGTGACTGTTCAAATCTTTTTCCATTTTAAAACATTGAGTTTTCTTTTTTTTTTGCTTTTTTTTTTTTTTTTTTTGAGATGGCGTCTCACTCTGTCACCCAGACTGGAGTGTAGTGGCGCAATCTCAGCTCACTGCAACCTCCACCTCCTGGGTTCAAGTGATTCTTCTGCCTCAGCCTCCCGAGTAGCTGGGATTACAGGCAAGTGCCACCATGCCCGGCTAATTTTTGTATTTTTAGACGGGGTTTCACCATATTGGCCAGGCTGGTCTCAAACTCCTGACCTCATGGTCCGCCCACCTCAGCCTCCCAAAGTGCTGAGATTACAGGCATGAGCCACCGCGCCTGGCCGGGTTGTCCTTTTGTTACTGAGTTGCCAGTGTGCTTTACATTTTTTCACATGGTGTGTGTGTGTGTGTGTGTGTGTATATATATATATACATATATATATATAAACCCTCTCCCTCAGGGAGTGGAGCCCCAGTTACTTCTTCTTTTTGTCTGTCTTTCTCCCCAGAATGATGCCAGGGATTCTTGTTTGTTTAGTACGATATTCCCAATGCTTCAGATTACCACTGGCACAGAGTAGGAGCTCAATAAACATTTACTGAAAGAATCAACAAATAATCAAGTGAACTGACTTTTGGGTCTGATATTCAGACACAATGTTCTTGACCTTAATGGCATTAATTAACAAGGAAATTGAAAAAAGGATATTTAAATGGTATCCTTGAGGTATTACATATGCTTGGCACCAAGGACGCAGAATACCTTCAGGGGACTGGACATGGTGGCTTATGCCTGTAATCCCAGTGCTTCAGAAGGCTGAGGTGGGAGTATCACTTGGGCCCAGGAGTTGGAGATCAGCCTGGGCAACATGGTGAGACCCTATCTGTACAAAAAAAAAAAAAAAAAAAATTAACCAGGCATGGTGGTGTGCATCTGTAGTCCCAGCTACTTCTCAGGCTGGGGCGGGAGGATAGCTGGATCCTGGGAGTTCGAGGCTGCAGTGAGGCCTGATTGCACCACTGAACTCCAATCGGGGTGACAGAGTAAGTCCTTGTCTCAAACAACAACAACAAAGCCCAAAATAGAATACCTTCAGGGGATTTGTTCACCCAGGGGAGATACTGCTAGACTATCTCATGGAGTGGCCTCATTTGTCCCCATATATGAGCCCTCTAGTGTAAGTCATCATCTGCCACATTCTGGGACTATACCCCCACTTCCAAGTCTTGGGTTCCAACCAGATTTGCTTAATGGATGAGCAGAACATCTAGCTTTAGAGGGTTTTAGGTAACTTCACCCAGCTGATCCCACTGTGCCTTTAACCACCTCCCTCTTGGCCCCCTCCACCACTGATAATGCCTGTTCCCTGACCATTGGCCCCTCTGCCTGGCTCTGTCTCACTAGCAGGCCCATCCCCACTCTGTGCTCTGCCCTTCTTAGCACCCCTAAAAGGCCAGGCAGGAAAGGACGGGACAAGTTGATTATGACATCCCTTTCTAGCTCTAAGGAATTCAATAATTCTCATTTTCATCCCTAAAGACATTTACCAGCAGTTGTAAATGGGGCTTTCCTAATTTGACACTGAAAGGTCAGTAGGGCCCCCTAAGTCTTGAAGCCATTTTCCTGGTCCCAATCCAGCAGATTCCATCCTATTCGGTTTGGGGCGTGTCTACAGTGAATAAGTGAATCATCAGCTTCACGTTTGTAGAGAACTTTGCCATTTGCATGTTCATATCTGTCATCTTATGTAAACTGCCAAACAGTTCTAGTTGTAGCCCTCTTTAGTTTCTATTTTCACAAAGTTTCTATTTCCCAAAGCAAAAAGAGGTGAGTTTTCATTTCTTTTTTTTTTTTTCATTTTGGTTTCTTTTTTTTTTTTTGAGACAGTGTCTCGCTCTGTTGCCCAGGCTGGGTCTCGCTCTGTTGCCCAGGCTGGAGTACAGTGTTGCAATAGTGGCTCACTGCAGCCTTGGCCTTCTGGGTTCAAGTGATCCTCCCATCTCAGCCTCTCCAGTAACTGGGACTACAGACATGTGCCACCATGCCTGGCTAATATGTTTTTATTTTTCATAGAGATGAGGTCTCACTATGTTGCCCAGGCTGATCTCAAACTCCTGAGCTTAAGCAATCCTCCCGCCTTGACCTCCCAAAGTGCTGGGATTACAAGCATGAGCCACTGCTCCTGGCAGAGTTTTCAAAAACCTCCAGCTCTTGCTAAAAAAAGTTGGTGCTTTCTTAGTTCTGGTGGGTATGCATGTGTAATATTTAAAAGGCTCATAGATTTTTACAGGTCAGAAACCTGGATTCTGTCTGTCATTAGAAATTCAATTACATGCCACAGACATATATGAGTAGTTCCTAACCTTTTAATTTAACCATTATTATGGATTTTCCCCCCTTGGATCACATGTTATTTTCTTTTAAGTCCACCAAAAACTGTATTTATTGGCTCACTTTACCTTTTTTATTCATCAGACTTATACCTCCCAGTCAGAGTTTAGAATCAGGATCAGGTAGTCTCTTACCTCACTAAGCTGATTTTATTACAGCCAAAATAAAGACATTTGATATTTGAATTAGCTTCCAAACCTAACAAGTGCATTTCCATTTCTGCTGGGCTTTTTGAAAGATTAAAAAGTTCATGCATTGACCCTTGAGAAAGTGGAAGCAAAGTTTAGTTCTTGTGAAGGAGTAGCCCTGTGTGTTCAGGGACTTCACTCTTGCCTTGTCTGTGATGTCTGAGTGGGAGTAACGGGGATATTACTGACTTTAACCCTTTTCACTGTGATCTGGGCCTTTCTCTGGCTCTATAGGGACTGGGGATCAACCACCCCCACCCTAGTATTTCCTCAGCTACTGGAGTATTTGGGTTCTCAGTTCAAGCTCATAGGACTTGGGGAGAACATGCATTCATTGAAACAAAGACATTCCCCTAAGGTGCAAAAGTTAAAATGTCATGCAACCAGAACTATTACCTAAAATCAAAAAGTGTCCAATTTGGATTATACTCTCAAAGGACCACGATGAGTATTCTCAAGTCAGTGTTTGTTTCTAAATTAATAGAATTAATAAATGTTATTCTGTTTGCCAATTATAGAAGAAGAGATACAGTTGGGGGAAGACTATTAATGTAATATGGAATTGCATTATAATTGTATTATTTAGCAGATTGTGTTGCATGAACCAATGAAATTTGAGGCTGTAATTTAAAAATAATTATTTTATGGAAGCAAAACTGCTTATGAATAACATTAAGTGAAATGCAGAATGAATAACTTAGGTATGTAGACTCACAACTAAGAAATATATATATATACATGTAGCTAATGGCTCAGGGTAATCTGCAGAAATGAAAAAAATTATATTAGAATGGACAAGGGTGAGTCTCTTTCAAAATATTTTTTGTATAAGTTGTTACACGTATCAGTTTTGCAATTAAAAGTTTAAGATGGATTTATATTGGCTCCAGTGAAGAATATGTGTTTTATTAACTAATACTGTGCTTGATTTTGTCTTATTTTATAGGAGTACCAACAGAAATCCACCAATGTAGTCTATCAGGCCCACCATGTGAGCAGGAATAAGAGAGGGCAAGTGGTTGGAACAAGGGGTGGGTTCCGAGGATGTACCGTGTGGCTAACAGGTATGTCATGTTCAGATATATAGAGAGAGAGAGAGCAAACTGACATGTGACACAATTTTATGGAAATTAGTGTAACGTATTACATGCTTGTTTTATCATTAGAAGGAGGCTGAGAGATGTAGTAGAAAGCCTGGATATTAGTCCTAACCCTACCATCAGTGAGAAATAGAGTCAAGGTCAACTATAGGAATAAGAGTCTGATCAAGTCAACTGTGAAAGTCTCTAGTTGTCACTTTTCTCCTCTTTGGCAGGAAAGGATGAGACAAGATGATTATGACATCCGCTTTCAGTGCTGAGGGATTCAATAATTCTCATGTTCATCCCTAAACATATTTACTGGCAGTTATGAATGAGGCTTTCCTAATTTGACATCAAGCATTTGGCTGTCCATAAGGTTTTGGATGTTTAGAGATATTTGTTATTGTTGCCTAATGTTTTGACATTCTAGGAGACTATTTCACTTACTATATAAGCTAACAAACAAACATAAGAATCTGTACAAGAAGGAAAACTAGTAATTTCCATTTGGCTGAGGATTGCCCTTGTTTATAGAAATAACTTGCTGTTGCTGAAGTGACTGAATGACTCTCCCTTTTCTTGTGTTTTTATAGCCACAGAATGTCAAAGCTAAGAGTTAGTGACAGAACTGGAATTAGAACCTGATTCCCAGTAGCTGGCCCCAGGCTATTACCTTGCACTCTGAGTCCAAGGTAGACAAAATTATGTCTGGACTCAAAAGGAAAATCCAATTTCATTTCATAGACAACAGTTTTCAAATGGAATGAGCTCACCTGCAAAACTATGTTTATTCAGGTTATAAAATGTTTTCTAACCTGAAGCTCATTCTAAACAATCTGGCAGCTAGGGACCTGCCTTGCATCTTTTCTTGCTATCCTAAGTCTTTGCCCTTTTCTGTCCCAACCAGCCTCATTCTTGTCCTCGTCAAGTTTTTTCCTTGTGCCTTTGGTTTCCTGGTTTCATTCATGCCTGGACTGTGCATCAAAGCAACTTTCTGCAGCCTCCAATGCAAGGACGGATAGTGAGCACGGAACCTGCTGTGCTCAAATATGCACCATCTTTCTGTCATTACTCCTGAAATGTTTACCTCAACTCCCCCCAAGAGACGTAATTGCAGCAGTAGGTACAGCTGTATTCTGGAAGACCCCCTCCTGTTATATGTTGCTCTTCATGCAAAGATCACTGGTGAAAACAACTTTCGTGTTGGGCTATGCACATGAAGTCCATTTTCTCTAATGTGACACCCCTTGAAAAGAAAAAGAGAACTGGTAGAAGAGAAACATGTCTTTCTCCTTCTGTACTCTTAAAATGAATTATCTTTTCATTAGAGGAAGAAAAGAATAGATGGCAAATTTTAAAAATCAAGGCCGGGCTTGGTAGCCCATGCCTGTAATCCCAGCACTTTGGGGGGCCAATTCGGGTGGGTCGCCTGATGTCAGGAGTTCAAGACCAGGCTGGCCAACATAGCAAAACCCTGTCTCCCTACTAAAAATACAAAAATTAGCCGGGCGTGGTGGTGCACGCCTGTAATCCCAGCTGCTCGGGAAGCTGAGGCAGGAGAATCACTTGAACACAGGAGGCGGAGGTTGCAGGGAGCCGAGATCCGCCACTGCACTCCAGCCTGGGTGACAGAATGACACTCCATCTCAAAAAATAAAAATAGAAAATTAAATTAAATTTAAAAATCATTTTTCTAATTTATTTTTTATTCTTATGTTAAAAGGTAGGCTGTTGACCAGGCAGACCAGAAGAAACAAAATATTTTAAATCCATAGACTCAGATTTTAGCCCCAACTGCACCTCCATGAGCTATGTGACTTTGGACAAGCCAGTTAGGCTCTCTAAGCCTCAGTTTTCTTATTTGTACAATGAGAATAAAGACAGTACCTGACTTATGGAGGGGTTTATAGAACTAAATCAATAAAAGACAAATGCACTTTGCACAGTGCTTGGCACACAGTTATCAGTAACTGTAATTAGTGTTACCTTAATGTATGAAAGTACGCGCGCCAACAATCTGGTTACATATACTTACCGTAATTTAACTCTTAGTTTCCTGAGAACTGAAGCAAAATGGAAGGACATTTCTGTTATTTCTCTCATTTTCTGACATGAGAGAACACACCAGAGATTCAGGAGTGCCATTTCCCCTACCCTATAACCTGACATAAATACTAAGAAGAATTTATCACGTACGTCTTTATTCAAATGAAAAGGAGTAACAGAATTACAGACAATTACCTTAAAAAATGATTTAGTGACGTTCGTGTTGACACGTTCTTCATATAGCCGTTTCTTCTAATGGTCCTCTGTCAAAGCCAAGGGCATGGCTTTAAACTATAACTAAAAGTATGGAGACTATTTATTTACCTTTTGCAGATCACCTTTTGCCCCCAAATCTTCCTTCTTCTCTGTCCTTCATTCCTGCTTTTTCCATCTTTTTCCACTTTTCTGCTGTAGTCTTCTCTGTATGAATGTCTTGGCTTTTTTCATCTGTCATGCCCAGCTGCTGTCGGACGGAAGCTTGGCACCATGAAATATTCTTAGGTTCAGAGATCTTTAGGACAAAGATCCTAAAATCCTAAAGGAGTCATTTTGTTTTAGAGTGCTAGCCTTTAGGGTAGTTCAGATTTAAACTGTTAAATAATTTGGGCAGGTTGTGTTTCTTTCCCTTTCTTCTTATGTTCCTCCTCATATGGAAATTACAAAGTGTGTTCCCGATCATTGCGCTTTGAAACTGTGGTGAAAGCCACATGGTAACTCTTTTCTCATATAAATACTCTAGAGAATCTTTACACCTAAGAGTGTGACATATGGCAGCTCTGAATACATCTGCTCCCTAGCTCAGGCCGGCTTTCTGTCTTTATGTTTTGAGAGTCATTTTGGAGACATCTCGAAGCCAAAGGACAGCATGCGGGCTCTGTGAGACGGTTGTTCAGTGGCATCCACAAGGGAGGGGGACTTACTATTCTCCACGGGCTGGCTGTTCCCCTGCATTCCGGCTGATTGCTGACTTTGAAGGGGATATGAGACCACTGTCACCATATCTTTTGATTTTTTCAAGAGAATACGGTATCTGGATTTGCACATACAACTTCCTTTGTGCTTTGGAGACAAGGCCTCGCTCTGTTACACAGGTTGGAGTGTAGTGGTGCCATCACGGCTCACTGCAGCCTTGACTTCCCAGGCTCAAGGGGTCTTCCCACCTCAGCCTCCTGAGTAGCTGGGACCACAGGTGTGTACCACCACACCCGGCTATTTTTTTGTTTTGTTTTTTGAGGATGCAGGGTCTCACTATGTTCCCCAGGCTAGTTTTGAACTCCTGGGCTCAAGTGATCCTCCCACCTTGGCCTCCCAAAATGCTGGGATTGCAGGCATGAGCCCATGCCCAGCCTGTATGACAACTTTCTAATCTTTAAAACACTCTGCAGCCCAAACAGAACACATCAAGGACCACATGTAGCCCCCAAATCTCCCTATTTATGAAGCCTGCTTGCTTTGAAAAGCTATAATCCTAACACAGGACAAATAGTTATTTCAAAATTTGACAGAAATGTAAGTATTTGCCTTGTAGTCAACTACACTGATTTCTTTCTTTCTTTCTTTCTTTCCTTCCTTCCTTCCTTCCTTCCTTCCTTCCTTCCTTCCTTTCCTTCCTTCCTTCCTTCCTTCCTTCCTTCCTTTCTCTTTCTTTCTTTCTTTCTTTCTTTCTTTCTTTCTTTCTTTCTTTCTTTCTTTCTTTCTTTCTTTCTTTCTTTCTTTCCATTTGAATTTATATTTAAAATTGCTAGAATTAGTTCACAATTTGTCATCTTAATTCTTTCTTTCTTTCTTTCTTTCTTTCTTTCTTTCTTTCTTTCTTTCCATTTAGTTATATTTAAAATTGCTAGATTAGTTCACAATTTGTCATCTTAAACTATCCAGGCTGATGTCAGTCTGCTTTATCTGTTCTGAACAGGTCTCTCTGGCGCTGGAAAAACGACAATAAGTTTTGCCCTGGAGGAGTACCTTGTCTCCCATGCCATCCCTTGTTACTCCCTGGATGGGGACAACGTCCGTCATGGCCTTAACAAAAATCTCGGATTCTCTCCTGGGGACAGAGAGGAAAATATCCGCCGGATTGCTGAAGTGGCTAAGCTGTTTGCTGATGCTGGCCTGGTCTGCATTACCAGCTTTATTTCTCCATTCGCAAAGGTAAAAAAAAAAAAAAAAAAGGCACTGCACACTATTCCCACACACAGTGCAAGTGCTCTCCAACTGCTAGGGGAAGGAATCAGGTAGGGTGGGCCTAAGAATGTCTCCTTTCAATTTCCCGACTATTTCTTTCCCCCATCACAGGCTCTCTCATTTCCTCTATTTAATATTGGTTACGTAAAGAGAGTTCCTTCCTTTCCAGATGCCAGGGCACCAGTGGACATAAATCCTTCCATGTTCACAATTATAAGGAACATTTGGTCAGAGTCGAAGGGAAGAGAAAGTTAAACAAGAGAAACTCTAAAGCTCTGTAATTTTAGTTGTCAGGAAAAGGATCTAGCTAAAGAAAAGAGCAGTTCACAGCCAAAGCTTCGGGTTCTATGTGTTTAATGCTGACATCACTGAGGTGGAGTGTCGCTCTTCTTTTAAGTCAGGAAATTTCTGGGAGCCAAACATCAGATGTAGCTTAGAACACATCCTTTGAATGCAATGCTCCCATATGGCCAGTGCTTTCCTGCTAGGAGGGCCTATTTTCCATCATTTTCTGTGAAAGTCCTTGAGAGTGCTGTGTTTACCAGAGTGAAATTTCTGGACTTTCTCTCAAGCACTCTGCAAAGCACAAACCCCAGTGTTATCTCAAGGCTATTGAAAACCAAAGTACACAGTGTTTTGTGATTTAGAATTTCACCATGAAACCTCTTTTTACATTCTTAAACATATTGCTTTTCAGGATCGTGAGAATGCCCGCAAAATACATGAATCAGCAGGGCTGCCATTCTTTGAAATATTTGTAGACGCACCTCTAAGTATTTGTGAAAGCAGAGACGTAAAAGGCCTCTACAAAAGGGCGAGAGCTGGGGAGATTAAAGGTAAGAGAATTGGCTAGCAGCATCTTTACCAGTTACTTAGGCTGTCAGTCCTTATTTTGTCCTCAGAAATCTGCCTTGAGTTTCAAACTCTCTTTTCCAAAATTGCATATAACATACACAACTTTTTATCGCATCATGACATATTCAATATGCCCAGAGGCTTATTAAAATGTAGGGTTTTATTTTTAAGAATTGTCATCTCAGCCATATGCAATGAAGTTCAGAGAACTAGAATGGATATTTATATGTGAGTGTGTGTGTAGAGGAGTGTTTCAGAGTTTTTCCTTATTCTTATCTTCCTTTTTGATTTTGATCATCTATAGAGGGCTTCAACTTACCCAGCCAGATTTTGTTGACAATTTGGGGCTGTTCCTATTGAAAATATAGCTATTTATTTTCTTACTTATGGCTAGAAGTCAAGGATGGCTCTTTGACCTTTCCTGTTAAAATGTGAATTTTCAGTTTAATACATTATTCCAACATGTGTTTTGCCTTATTGATTAAAAAGGTTATTCTGTCAATACAGATGTGATGATTGTCACCCATATGCCTTGCAGGATTTACAGGTATCGATTCTGATTATGAGAAACCTGAAACTCCTGAGCGTGTGCTTAAAACCAATTTGTCCACAGTGAGTGACTGTGTCCAGCAGGTAGTGGAACTTCTGCAAGAGCAGGTAAGTGAACCGGTTGTCTTTTCTTTATATGTTTAATAAAATCATGAAAGGCAATCTATGCCTCCTTACTGAAGCATTCTTTCTATAGTTTTCCTTTCAAGTTTTTACCAATTCTGTTTCATTTCAGAACATCGTACCCCATACTATAATCAAAGATATCCACGAACTTTTCGTGCCGGAAAACAAACTTGACCACGTCCGAGCTGAGGCTGAAACTCTCCCTTCATTATCAATTACTAAGGTAAGTGGGTGCAGACTGGTCAAAGAATTAGGCTTAATATCAGTCATTATAATTTATTTATAATTACTCTTAACAATAAGAAAGATATAAATAAGGTGCACTTAATGTCCGCAAATAAAACACTCCTTTTTTGCCAAGTGTTTTTAACTTCTTCTCCAAAGAAATCTTTCCAAGAATTGCCACAAGGCAGCTGATCAATGCCATGTATGGAGGTGACTGGGAAAATAATTTCTGTATTTGCATTGGACAATTTTACATAGCTGTCATTGTACCAGTAAGTACATCTGGTAGAAAAATATAGCCAAACCAGGATTTTTGTGGATAAAAGAAAGAAAGAATAAACGATGAATTTTCAACTCAGTTGCATATTTTGGGAATAGATACAGCCTAAAAATGTTCAAATAAGTCATCTCAATATCTCAATATGAAATCTTTTCACCACTATTTCATAGTAAATTTCTGAACTTAAATCTTTCTGGCCCTTAGATCATGGGTTAGCATAACAGTTGGGAACACTTAAAACAGAAGATTCTGCCCTTATCCTCTTGTTAACTGAATAAGAAAGGACTTTCCTGGGGCCAGATGCCTGGAAAACAGAACTTATGAAAATGTTCAACTGCTTTTTGTGTTTTGCAGCTGGATCTCCAGTGGGTCCAGGTTTTGAGCGAAGGCTGGGCCACTCCCCTCAAAGGTTTCATGAGGGAGAAGGAGTACTTACAAGTTATGCACTTTGACACCCTGCTAGATGGTATGTTTTTGTTGTTGTTTCTTAATCTTTATTGTTAAAGGAGAAAAAGAATCTTTCCCAGAAGTTTTGCAGGAACAGGAAGTTAGTCTTTGGTTTGCAAATGTTATTGCAAAACTATTTGGATCATTTACAGTGTGCTCCATTCATTATGTTTAAGCTTCCATTTTTAGGATTTTTTTTTGGTTGTTCTCAAAGATTGTTCCTTTAAAACTAAGGAACTGAAAAATGGTTCTTAAGCCAAGAAAAACACAAGTCTGTTTCACCTCTACTTGCTCTTTGTTGGTGCTGATATTCAGAAGGTAGCACTCAGAAGTACCATTGCCACCTGCTAGGGACATTCCTGGGGCAGCCAAGATGAGGTCAGCACATGTTCCTGACCTCCATGGCACCCCCCACCCTCCAGGTTGCTCATGTCAAGCATTATTGCAACAACTGCTTTCTTTGGTGCATGCTGAAGTATCAATGGTCATGCCCACACATGAAATATATTAACATGGTTTCATCCACTACACTCTAACAAAAGAGCATTAAGGCAGCTTTCTGGCCACAAGCTGAATGGCTTTTAGAAAAGCGATCTGGTCAAGCTCAAAAGCATGTGTTATTGAGAAGACTTCCGGACCCTTCTATGATCATTTCCTTCCTAGAACTGCCTGAGCTTATCGAATAAACTCATCTATTTCAAGACCTTTGGGGAATGGCTGCTAAGTGGGGAAGGAGTAGGGGTAGAGTCACACTGAATTTGTAATACTGAGCCGGGCTCCAAGCCTTTTAGGAAGAAAAATCAAATAAGACGTTTGTTTTTGGAAAAGATATTCATGTCCTGTGTTTGTGCCTTTGCCTGGGGAATGGGGCATGAATTCAGAATCAGAACTCAAAGACTGATCAGCATGGACCCTCTTGCCTTATTCTTTTGCTGTGACAGATAACACTCCAAAACCTGAATCCCTCACTTCTCAGATTAAATAATATTCCCCAAAGACACTTAGTTTACTTCTAGCTTGCTTTAACAACAACAATAATAATCCATATCTCTATACCACGTCTCTGTTTTCAAAGCATTTTCTCGGGCATTATTTCATTTGATCCTCACAGAAACCCTAGAAAATAGTTAGCAATTATTATCCCACTTTACAGATGAGGAAACTGGCCTCAGATTCAGTGATTTGCTCAAGTTCATAGCATTCATAAGTGAAGGCCCAAGACCAGACTCCTGGCCCAGTGCTCCTTACATACCAGGCTGCTCTCCTGATGTCCTTTCCAATAGAATCTATAAGGCCTGATGGTCTACAAGGAAGGCTGACTTTTATCTTGATGTCTTGATTTGACACATGGTGAACACTGGCTGCCTGAAGTAAAGGTCATTGAACTTAGCAGCTAGCCATGAGCAACAGGTTGATTTTGAGCATGTGAACAGAGCTGTGGCCAAAAGACAAGACAAGTGAACTACATTGAAAGAGGGGGCCTCATTACAGACAACAAGGTGCTGTTGACCTTGGACAAGCGTTCCTTTCATAAAGAAAAATACCAGGGTGGTGGAAGTAGTTGCAGAGGTCAGTGTTAATGGAAATCAGGGGTCCTTAGCCTAGGATCTAGGACTTCAGGGTGGGCTAACAAAAAATCCTAGAGGCAAAAATGTTTGTGTTTTGATAAGGGAAGGAAGGAACATTTTCCTGGGTTGAGGATTTATGGCTTTTGATAGATTCTGTTTTTTCCTTTAATGTTTTTATTTCTTAGAGACAGGGTCTTGCTCCATCACCCAGGCTGGAGTGCAGTGGCATGATCATAGCTTACTGAATCCTTGAACTCCTGAATTCAAGCAATCCTCCCACCTCTGCTTCCTAGGTAGCTGGTATTACAGGCGTGCACCACCATGCCTGGCATATTTCTAAATTTGTTTTGTAGAGATAAGGTCTATGTTGCCCAGGGATAAGGCAACACAATGTTGCCCAGGTTGATCTTGAATTCCTTTCCTCAAGTAATCTGCCTGCCTTGGCCTTGCAAAGTGCTGCTATAGACAACAAATTCTTAAAAGAGTCTGTAATCCAAAAAGATGAAGAACAGCTAATGCAGATAATCCATCTAGATTATTTAGGCAAAATCTCTAGCCTTCCTTTTACACTGTCTCAATTTCATTTTATGGGGGTTCTTCAACTTGCAAAACCCATTGATTTTCTTTTTTCTTTTTTCTTTTTTTTTTTGAGACAGAGTCTTGCTCTGTCACCCAGGCCTGAGTGCAGTGGCATGATCTCGGCTCACTGCAACTTCTGCCTCCTGGGTTCAAGCCATTCTCCTGAGTAGCTGGGACTACAGGTGCATGCCACTATGCATGGCTAATTTTTGTGTTTTTGGTAGAGACAGGGTTTCACCATGTTGGCCAGGCTGGTCTTGAACTCCTTGACCTCAGATGATCTGCCTGCCTCAGCCTCCCAAAGTGCTGAGATTACAGGTGTGAGCCGCCATACCCTGCCAACCCATTGATTTTCTATTTCTTATTTGATGCTCACTACCATAAAGTGGATGAAGCACTTATTATTGCTCCCACTCTCCATGTAATCCAGATGTCTGTCCCCATAAACCTACCAGCCAGGGGATATGAATGAGGTTACCTTCCCATTAATACTTGAAGCCTACTAGTTCCAAGCCCCTATCTGCTCATGCAGAAAGCCCAGTTCTTTCCAAAGCTTACCCATGTGTTTTTGGAAGTCCCCAAGGGGTATGTTTCCTGTGTTCCTGAGTCAGGGCCCCAGCCATGTGCCACTTGCTGTGTGGGTCTGTGGGTCTGTCTGAACCCAGAAGTGCAGATCCTGCTGGGTCACTCCAGCCACCAAAGTTTTGGTACCAGTAGGGCTCTCGTAGTTTATGGACTGTTCTTCAAGTGGGAAAAATGTTTCCTTTCTCTGTATTAACCTCAATTGAAGACTGTCTAGGAGGTTGCTTTAGTTCCACAGTATTAGAGAATTGAGTGGGGCAACTCTTGTAAGCCGTATGGATCCCTTTATCCTCATGTGGCTCCAGTGTGGCTCTGTCAGGAGGGTTCAAGACCAGATGTGGTGCTATTTCCATATCCTTTCCCCTTCCAACCTGCAGGGCCTGTTTCTGAAACTTTCTGTAAGACTCTTCTTTTCCCTGTGGGAATTATCTGCTGGTTCTACCATCTACCTCTGCAAACAGAGTCCACTGGACATACTTATGCAACCCCAGTTATGATCAGGATTCAGAGCTCTGCACAGCCCATGGAAGCATCCTAAATGCCTGTGTAAACTGATTAATAAAAATAGATAATCACGGATATGATGTGCTGCCCACCCCTACCATTTGCTGTATGTTAACTTAGTTTGGGCCTAAGTAGAGGCAGAATATCACAGTGGATGAGAGTGTGAGCTGTGAAGTCAAACTGTCTAGGTTTGTATCACAGTGATTAGCTATGAACCTGGGCCAAATTACTTGAACTCTCTAGGCTTTGTTCCTTCATCTGTATAATGGGGATGTTAATAACTGTACCTACCTCATTGGATGTTGAAAGTTTAAAAGAATCCCTGATTCAATAGTCAGTATTTCAAACATGTTAGCTATTATGAACAAACCACTCTGCATACAGTTAAAAGAATTTGTCAGGCATGGTGGTTCATGACGGTAGTCCCAGCTGCTCAGAGCCTAAGGCGGGAGGATCACTTGAGCTCAGGAGCTGGAGTCCCACTTGGACAACATAGGGAAACTTTGTCTCTAAAAATAAATTCATAAATAAAAGCACTTGGAGTCTTGAAGAGACTAAGTGACTTTATCCCTAGTCACATCAGTGTGGAAGTAGCACAGATAACGATGTTCATCAGCTAGCCAACAGATATTCACTGAGTGCTCCCATGTGCCAGGCTTTGTCTAGTGGCTGGAGATAGAATGGTAATGAAGGCAGGTGAGCTTTCTGAGAAACACAGTAAAGTCATTTTCTGAGACCTAGTCCAGTAGGTCCTTCCCGCCCCCCATCAGTGGTTGTGAAACTTTCTTTTTTGTTTTATTTTTCTTATTTTATTTTATTTTTTGAGACAGAGTCTCGCTCTGTTGCCCAGGCTGGAGTGCAGTGGTGCGATCTCTGCTTACTGCAACGTCCGCCTCCTGGGTTCAAGCAATTCTTCTGCCTCAGCCTACCAAGTAGCTGGGATTACAGGCACCCGCCACCAAGCCCAGGTAATTATTGTATTTTTAGTAGAGATGGGGTTTTACCATATTGGCCAGGCTGGTCTTGAACTCCTGACCTCAAGTGATCCACCCACCTCAGCCTCCCAAAGTGCTAGGATTAGAACCATGAGCCACTGCGCGTGGCCAAAACGTTCTTTTTTAAACCAGAGAATTATTTATTTCATTTCAAAAACCAGAGGCAATATATACAACAAAATGGAACTACCCCACTGCCCCAGTAGAAGGGAGTAGGGGCTTGGGCTCCCTCTCACCTGGAGAGCAACCTGGAGGGTATCAGGAGGAAGCCGGTTAAAACGCAGCAACAGAGGCTCCTGACAGTGCCTCGCCTCATGGCGTTTGAGCAGACAGTTAAATACTAAAAAGTGATTTATTTATATGTCAGAATGTTGGGCAAGATATCATTCATATAGATATCATTTCATTGTAAACAATTCATGAAGGTTTGAGTCACTGCCATTGAAAATTTGAAATGATCTCTATAGCCACAGACAATGTGCCCACTTTTGTCTTCCTTCAACAATTGCAAATTTCTTGATTGCCCTACAATCTGTAAACAACATTGTTATTATTCTGACCATGTCTCCTAAAAATATTTTGTTGGTTTTAATTTTCTCAAAGGTCTATATTTTTGAGAAATATAAACCTAAAATTAAAAATAAATTTAAAAATAAAATTTAAAAATAAAATAGTTCTGTCTACTCAGTCCAAAAGCCAAAAAAAAAACCAAAAAAACAAAAACCCAAAACAAAAACCAAATCACTTGTTAGAGTTTATGATAATTGTATAGTATGAGTCACTCCATATATTATTCAAGAATCTATGTTTATATCAATGTATCATATCAATTTATTTCTCACTGGAAGTATAGTTTCAGGGTTGTCACAGACCCTTTGGTCATAAATGTCACATCTAAATTTAAAAATGGAACCTCAAGCTTGCGTTGACTGATGGCATCCAAGTAGGATCAAGACAGGGGCCTTGTGAGGCTCCATCATTTAATGGCTATTCTTCCGCAGCTCTGACTTTCCAAGGCATGGTGTGAGAGCACTCTGCATATATCACCAGCACTTACTGAGCACCAATTGTGTTCTGACACTGGAGTTTGACATAGATTATTACATTTAATCAGGATAATACCACTGTGAAGATGTTTTGTCCATTTGAGAAAATATGTATTAGAAAGGTTAAATAACTTATTTGAAGCCTAGACTTAAATCCAGGTTGTACTGAATCTAACATTGGTGCTTGTTATACTGGGCATATTTTCATGTCCTCTAACCATGTGAGATTCTAGGATGTTCTAGGGCAGTTTGCTTCTATACTTGCTCCCGAAGCGTAGTTTGGAAACTATTCAACAGTGGTTATAAGATCACATGTTTGCAAGAGAAAACTTCTTGGTGAAGCTAGAGGGGATATTAACATATGTTATAATTATTTTAAAGCAGATATCTCTTCCCAGTGGAAGGAAAAATAAATAAATAAAAAATTAGAAAACCAGATAAACATCTGAGCAATGCTTTTGGATTGTATTGGACATTCCATACAAGTTCTGATTTCACCAGCTTTTTCTTGTTATATACTCTCTATTTTTAAAAATAGCATGATGAAGCTAGTATATTTATATGTTGTATATGTGAAGTGTCATAACAGGAATTTGCTCTTTGACATTGTTGCTGTAAGATTCTTTTGGTGGACAGCTGAAAATGTTTCTTAACTGTGTTTATATTTCCCTAGGCATGGCCCTTCCTGGTATGTACTTTAACTTTTCCAAGTAGCTAAATTATTATAATTAGATATGTTACATTAACTGGAAATGGTTAAGAACATAACTAAAAGAAAATCTACATTAACCAGTTGGAATCACTATTAGTTCATGATCCAACCAGCTATAGTGGAATAACACTGTATTTTTCTTTTGATTGGAGTCCAAACAACAGGAAATTTCTTGACCAGATGTAGCTATTGTGTATAATGTAGCATTTGGCTGACAAAAGTAAACTTGTTTCTAAATTATCATTGCACAATTTGTTCCTGAGTCTTTTACATTTATGATCCTCTTCCAATGACCAAATGAGGACCAATTGGTCCTCATTTAGTTTCAAAAATCTGGAAATTTTTTTTCTACGGTGTTTATAGAAGATTTTAAGATGATGAAGAATAAATCATTGTAAACTGAATGTACCTGGTTGGATTGTGTATGATTGTACTTCATTTGTTTGCAATGTACGATTATGCATGTACTTAATTTCAAGCCACTATGATTGCCTGTTATGGAACTGGGAGTAAATATACATTTGCTGTGACTGTAAACTTCTGCATTGTACAAAAATGGAAAGGTAAAATTCTGAATATGTCATCTGTCTTTGATATTGCTTTCATCATTGTTGTTTTTCCTTTAAAAAGCCCGGTTAAGCAATAAGGAGTAATTTAGGTTTTGCATAGAAACAGCCCCAAACAACCATGAAGCAGATCTATAAGCCTAACACAGAAGACTGGAAAATTATTGAAAGCAAAAGAAAAATCATTCCATTGAACAATAAGCTATCTCTTGGACTTACTGTGGCTAAAGAACCACAATATTCTTTTTCAAAATAAGATATACCACAATAAAATAATCAAGGCAGTTCCCACCAGAGCCAAATGAAGCACATGAAGGAAAAGGCTGAAAGCTCAAGTCAAGGTTGAAAGCCATGGGTGATGTTTCAGCACAGTTCAGGTATTACGTCTTAGAAACAGTTGGATACGTTTATGTATTAGAAAAGTTGATAAAGATGATAGGGAAACTACAGTAAATCTGTATATACACGTGTAGTGTTGTAGCTACAGGCTTGTAAGATCAGTTGGTATTATCACTTGGCAGAACTCCTTTCTATAAACATCCCACAGATTCGCTTCCTTATTGAGACAACCTGCCAAGGAGTGTTATTTAGTCATTTTAGATGAAGGTAGATTAGAGGCTACATTGGTCAGGAATCTAGTGGACAAGAGGAGGTGGCTGCAACAGTGAAACATCCCTTGGATTTCAAGGCAGAATACTTGATGGAAAAGGCAACGTTACAGACGTGTTGCAGGCAGCGCTAGGTTCTTTCAGCAACCTGCTCCATGCTTTGCTTTGCATTTTGCTTTATTTCGGCCAAGTCATTCTTTTTTTTTTTTTTTTTTTTTTTTTGAGACGGAGTCTCGCTCTGTTGCCCGGGCTGGAGTGCAGTGGCCGGATCTCAGCTCACCGCAAGCTCCGCCTCCCGGGTTTACGCTGCCTCAGCCTCCGGAGTAGCTGGGACTACAGGCGCCCGCCTAGATATTTGTATTTTTTTAGTACAGACGGGGTTTCACCGTGTTAGACAGGATGGTCTCGATCTCCTGACCTCGTGATCTGCCCGTCTTGGCCTCCCAAAGTGCTGGGATTACAGGCTTGAGCCACCGCGCCCGGCAGCCAAGTCATTCTTTATCAGCAGAGGCAAATGTCATGGTCTTTCTTTTAGTAATGTCATCAGTAAGCAATCCACAGAAAGCATGATTTCTGGTGAGAACAACAGCATTTCTGAAGGCGTTATTCTTTGTTAGCCTCTCTTCCTTTTCCTCAACTAGTCTATGCGGTGGATTTCATTATCTTCCATCAGCAACCTCCATTAACATAGTGCTTTATAGTTTGCCCCCTGCAGCAACCCACGGAGATAGATGTCATTTATTAGCCCATTTTTCCAGTGAGGAAACTGAGTTTAGAAAAGTTGAATGACACACATAGTAAAAGGGAGAACTGCTGACTTTGAATTTAGTGTTCTCTGCAAAGGACTTAGCTGCTGTAAATGCCCAAGAACATTGAAACAAAGAGTTATTTGAATGACAAACCATTACTTTCTGCACATGGTATCTAATTTGTGGTTTATGAAAGGTCTGAAAGTATATTGCAGGATTTTATGATAGATCAGATTTTTTTTATTGCCAGCAGTTGCTGTCTATTTCCGGTGACATTCTTTAGGTTCTAGTAACCTTTGGAAAGTGTTTAAAAGGTGCAAAGTGATATGCCTGGAAAGTTTAGTTTCATAGCTACTAGGGGGAGTCTTATGCCCCGAAGGAATAGAACTCTAATCTTTAACTCTGTCAGAGGCCTTCTAAATGTTGCATTGAAAAGTTAGGTTTAAATGGCTTCATTAATCTAGGGCACATTCCCTCAAGTCCATAAATAACTGCATTTGTTTTCTCCAGAGTTAAAAAGTTTTCTTTATTCACCTTCCTTTCATTCTCTTCTGAATCTTGAACTTGAGAACTCTCACAAAATTGTCCCTAATTTTATTTTGTGTTATACGCTTAACCATGAGCCCTCATTTTCTTAACTGTGAGTATAATTGAGAGACTAGCATATTTGTGAGGGCATCATTGTAGGAGGAACACCGTTTTCTACATTTTTTTACATTATCTAGAATCATTGAGAAATGAGATGTTTTTAGAAAGCTGAATTTTATCCCTTTAAGCCACAGACTGAAAACCAACTACACATTAACTATCTTATTTAGAAACGTTTCAAAATAGTCTTACTAAAAAAACAAAAAATTATTCACTCAAAAAAAGAGAATATGTTCAATATAAAATAACTTTTAAAAATGACTCTGTCATTATTAGTTTTACCAGTTATTAAACTGGGCACTAATGTAATGGTGTCCTGAAGATGGGGAGACCTGTGGGATTGTTGGCTCGCACACTAAAGAACTCCCATAACTCTGTATTTTAGTTTCTGTGTTAGAACCTTGTATGGTCAGGGTTCTCCAGAGAAACAGAACCAACAGGATGTGTATCTGTCTATCCATCAATAGATAGATATGCATCTCTCTATATAGACATAGATATAAAAAAATATTTAATATATTTAAATAAATTTATATATGCATGTACATATATTAATTTATACATATATACATTATTTTAATAAGTTATTATAGAACCTTTTCTCTCTACATATACATCTCTATAACATAGATATTATATCTGAATTATATATTTCTGATATATATCTGAATAGATAACAATATATCTATGTTATATATAGATATCTACATATTATATAGGTATATAATAAATCTCTTTCTCTCTCTCTCTACACACACACACACACACACACACACACACACACACACACACACAGAAAGAGATTTATTTTAAGGAATTGGTTCATGTGATTGTGGAATCTGGCAAGTCCGAAAACTGGGAGGCTGGAGACCCTGAGAAGACCTGCAGTTCAAGTCCACAGGCTGTCTGTTGGCGTAATTCTCTCCTCTTCTGGGGAGACAAGTCTTTTTTTTTTTGGAGACAGAGAGGGCAGTGGGGCGATCTTGGCTCACTGCAAGCTCCGCCTCCTGCGTTCACGCCTTTCTCCTGCCTCAGCCTCCCGAGTAGCTGGGACCACAGGCGCCCGACACCGCGCCCGGCTAATTTTTTGTATTTTTTTTAGTAGAGACGGGGTTTCACCGTGGTCTCAATCTCCTGACCTTGTGATCCGCCCGCCTCAGCCTCCCAAAGTACTGGGATTACAGGCGTGAGCCACTGCGCCCGGCCAAGTCTTTTTTTAATTAGGCCTTTGACTGATTGGATGAGGCCCACTCACATTCTGGAGGGTACTCTCTCTACTCAAAGTCTACTGATTTAAATGTTAATCCCATCTAAAAAGTACCTCCACTGAAACATCTAGAATAATGTTTGACTAAATATCTGAGTACTGTGTCCTAGCTAAATTGATATATAACATCAACCATCACAGTTTCTGTGTGTATTTTTTCAGTAGTTTTCCTTTCTCTTCCTTTGCGGTCCAGCTGTCATTTGACATTTCTTGCTGCTGAAGATGTAGCTTCTCTGAATACCACATTCGATGCCTTCTAATTTGCTGTGCTGTATACTGAGAAATCAGAACACCCTGTTTATTTAAATTCCTCTTAAAGCAAGAGACTCAGCATAATGGTGAGAGGGGCTTAAACGCCAGAGAAAGCGCATGTGCGTTAATGACTTGATGTCATTTTTCACTCCTGTGTGTTTCTGGACAGATGATTCTCAACTGTGGTTGCACTAGCAAGACCTGTGATTCCCAGATAAGTGAGATTACCAGTCTCTTCAAAAATATTTAGGAAAGAGGGAACAGGAGGGGGAAAAAAAGGTGATTTTATGCCAAAGCCACCATGAATAACATCAGGATGACTGCTCGTTTGGGATACCATAGATTAGTGGGTTTGTTTTGTTTTTTTGAGACAAGGTCTTGCTCTGTCACCCAGACTGGAGTACAGTGGAGTGATCAGGGCTCACTGCAGCCTCATACTCCTGGGCTCAAGTGAACCTCTTGCCTCAGCCTCCTGAGTAGCTGGGACTACAGGTGCATGCCAGCATGTCCAGCTAATTTTAAAAAACGTGTGTGTGTGTGTATGTATATACATATATACATATATGTATATATACACATATATATGTATACACACACACACACACACACACACATTTTTTGGTAGAGATGAGGTCTTGCCATGTTACCCAGGCTGGTCACAAACTGTTGGCCTGAAGCCATCCTCCCATCTTGGCCTCCCAAAATGCTGGGATTATAGGTGTAAGCCACTGCACCTGGCTGAAAATACATTTTTACAAGTGCATGAGATGGGTACAGAAAACAGAATGAATAAGATATAGTATTTGATAGCACAACAGGATGACTATAGTGAATAATAATTTAACTGCTGGGCGTGGTGGCTCACACCTGTAATCCCAGCACATTGGGAGGCCGAGGTGGGTGGATCATGAGGTCAAGAGATCGAGACCATCCTGGCCAACATGGTGAAACCCCATCTCTACTAAAATACAAAAATTAGCTGGGAGTGGTGGCACATGCTTGTAGTCCCAGCTACTCGAGAGGCTGAGGCAGGAGAATAGCTTGAACCCAGGAGGCAGAGGTTGCAGTGAGCCAAGATTGTGCCACTGAACTCCAGCCTGGTGACAGAGCAAGACTCTAAGAAATAAAAATTTAAAAAAATTAGCTGTACATTTAAAAATAACTAAGAGGATAATTGGATTTTTGTAACACAAAGGATAAATGCTTGAGGTGATGGGTACCTCATTTACCCTAGTGTGATTATTATGCATTGTATTCCTGTATCAAAATATCTTATGCACCCCATAAACATATACACTATGTACCCATGAAAGTTAAAAATTAAAGAAAAAGGTGAATGAGATATTACCCAGATTGTAGTTGATTAATATTAAAAAAGAGAAACATACAACTGTCGTAAGTAATTTATTATACAAAAAATGCATACTCATTCCCATAGATTAATATCAATTATCTGATTTTTTTTCTGTCTTTTCAATTCAGTGTGTTGGTATGCAGATAGAGCCTAAACAGATAATGAAATAAAAGACTTGCTTAACGTTCTTATGAGGTTCTTTTCTAAGAAAGACTAGAGAGTTTTGTTTTGGTTTGTTTTGCTAGCTTAATTTTATTTAATTGGGTTTTGGAAAACTTTAAACTCCCTACTGCATTGAGGTCAGGACTTAGATTTGAAAAGGGAACCCATAAAGAGGTGTGTCCAAAGTTAGATCAGTTTATGGAGGCCACCTCCATGATTTGAAACTCAACCCACTTTTCACATATGCTCCATTTGCTTTGGGAAGCCCTTCAAGGACTTGTCATCATGGAATCTAGAGAAACTGGTGCAGCTAACACAACTACTTGGATGTGGGTCTTAATGCTTCTTGAAGGAAATGTTTGGAAGGGGCATTGTGCACATTTGAGTCATGCTTCACGGATGATGCACCTTGTGTCTAGTTTTCATGCATCACATGGCTCTTTCCACAGATGGCGTGATCAACATGAGCATCCCCATTGTACTGCCCGTCTCTGCAGAGGATAAGACACGGCTGGAAGGTTGCAGCAAGTTTGTCCTGGCACATGGTGGGCGGAGGGTAGCTATCTTACGAGATGCTGAATTCTATGAACACAGAAAAGAGGAGCGCTGTTCCCGTGTTTGGGGGACAACATGTACAAAACACCCCCATATCAAAGTAAGTCACAAAACCTTTGGAAGGGCTTTCTTGATCTATTTCAACTGAGAAGAAAAATAACTGTTTAATTCCTTTGCAAAGGACGTAGAAAAACTGGGATTAGGTGGAAGAATGTACTTCTAAAGTAGGGTTTGCAGGCTTTGCCTTGGGAGATGTTTTTAGAAAGGTGCAAAGAAATGTCTTTCTGTTTGAGGTCTGGTCTCAATGATCTCTTGAGTCCTCAGATTCTGCAGTGGCTGGCATCCTCAGCTAAATGGAACCAGGTAAGTAATTTAGTCTGACAACATGAGTAGAGGAACAAAATCATAGCTGTAGCTATGCACAAAGCCATAACTAGAGCTTGCAGCCCTGTCCATCTTGAAAATGCACAAGGAAAATAAATATCTTCATAAAGAATGGGCCCAACCAAACACTGGAACAAGAACTCAGAGTTCATGCTCTGTGGCTAGTGAGGGGGTCAGTGATATTCTCTCAGTAAACACAAATCAGCACAGATAGTGGCAGAGCTTCCAGAGGAAAGATATCACATTTTTGTCACTGGATATTTTTTTTATTTATTTTATTTATGTATTTATTTTTTGAGACGGAGACTCGCTCTGTCGCCCAGGCTGGAGTGCGGTGGCGTGATCTCAGCTCACTGCAAGCTCCTCCTTCTGGGTTATGCCATTCTCCTGCCTCAGCCTCCCGAGTAGCTGGGACTACAGGCGCCCGCCACCACGCCCAGCTAATTTTTTGTATTTTTAGTAGAGACGGGGTTTCACCGTGTTAGCTAGGATGGTCTCGATCTCCTGACCTTGTGATCCACCCGCCTCAGCCTGCCAAAGTGCTGGGATTACAGGCGTGAGCCACTGCACCCGGTCCGTGGATATTTTTAAGATTGAAAAAAATGTGTTCATCTGATAGGATCAGGTAGGGTCTATCATGCCTAAAGGCAAAGTACACTAACTCCTCAGATTCCTTCACAGCTTCTAATTACTGTTGGTGATGGGGTGGTGTGGGGTTTTATGAAGTTGCTCACTGTGGTTCATTTCCCACAAAGAAAAATAAGTGAAATTAAATGCTAAAACCATCCCTCATCCAAGATGAGAGCAGTAGGGTGGAAATGAAAAAAGTCATATACTACTAATTTGACTTCTCAAATCTCCCAGCATGTCCCTTTCAGCATGTTCACAGGAAGAGACAGCACTGTCAGACCCAGGAGACTCTGAAAAGCCTGGGATTAGACAAGGCATGCCCTCCCTCTGGGCCTCAGTTTCTTTATTTATAAAAGGAGAGGCCAGGCTGGGCGCGGTGGCTCATGCCTGTAATCCTGGTACTTTGGGAGGCTGAGGCCAGCACATCACCTGAGGTTGGGAGTTCGAGACCAGCCTGGCCAACATGGTGATACCCTTTCTCTACTAAAAACACAGAAATTAGCTGGACGTGGTGGCAGGTGCCTGTAATCCCAGCTACTTGGGAGGCTGAGGCACAAGAATTGCTTGAACCCAGGAGGCAGAGGTTGCAGTGAGCCAAGCTGCCACTGCACTCTAGCCTGGGTGACAGAGCGAGCAAGACAGAGCGAGCAAGACGTGGTCTCAAAAAAAAAAAAAAAAAAGAGAGAGGCCAGACTCAAAATAACTGTAAGATCTCTTCCAGCCTCATGACCCTGTCAAAAGATAAGGCTTCTTTTGGCCTTCGTTTTTGTTACAAAATGTTCCAAAATAGGAAAGGCCTTTTTAAGGTCCCTGTTTGTGGCCTCTGAAGGCCTTCTCTATCTGAACCCAAAAGTCAACGGCAAGCAAAGCAGCTTTTTCATTTATTTATTTATTTTTTAAAAATTATTATTGTTTTTTGAGATGGAGTCTTGCTCTGTCATAATCATATAGGTTTGGGATTTTATCTTTACTCAGTGACTGAAAGAATAGCAGTCATTTGGTTATGGTTATGTCAGCTCAGATATTTCTACCTTTTGGGTCTGATATTTGCATACATAGGACTAGCACTAAAAAAACCTGAAGAGTTTCTTAAGTGATTACAGGCATAGCTCGTTTTACTACGCTTCACTTTATCGTGCTTCACAGATTTTGCTTTTCTTTCTTTCTTTCTTTCTTTTTTTTTTTTAAACAAATTGAAGGTTTGTGTCAAACCTGCTCTGAGTCTGAGTGCCATCTTCCCAGCAGCATGTGCTCATTTTGTGTCTCTGTGTCACATTTTGATGATTCTTATGATATTTTAGATTTCTTCATTATTGTTATGACCTGTTCTGGTGATCTACGATTAGTGATCTTTGATGTTACTATTGTAATTGTTTTGGGGCACCACAAATTGCAACCATATGATGGCAAACTTAATTGATAAATGTTGTGTGTGTTCTGCCTTCTCCACTCACTGGCCATTCCCCCATCTCTCTCCCTCTCCTTGGGACTCCCTATTCCCTGAGATCCATCAATATTTGAATTAGGCCAATTAATAACCCTGCAGTGGCCTCTAAGTGTTCGAGTGAAAGGAAGACTCACACATCTCTCACTTTAAGTCCAAAGCTAGAAATGATTGAGCTTAGTGAGGAGGGCACGTAGAAAGTTGAAATAGGGCTCAGGCGTGGTGGCTCACACTTGTAATCCCAGCACTTTGGGAGGCCAAGGCTGGCAGATCACCTGAAATCAGGAGTTCGAGACCAGCCTGACCAACATGGAGAAACCCCATCTCTACTAAAAATACAAAATTAGCTGGGCATGGTGGTGCATGCATGTAATCCCAGCTACTCGGGAGCTTGAGGCAGGCGAATCGCTTGAACTCAGGAGGCGGAGGTTGCCGTTGGCTGAGAGAGTGCCATTGCACTCCAGCCTGGCAACAAGAGTGATACTCCATCTCAAAAAAAAAAAAAAAAAGAAATAAAGAAATTTGAAATAGGCCTCCTGGGCCAGTTAGCCAAGTTGTAAATGCAAAGGAAAAGTTATTGGAGAAAATTACACACAGTGAGCAAGCAAATGATAAGGAAACAAAGCAACCTTATTGCCAATGTAGGGGTCACGGGAAAACTTCCTCTTCGCCCCCTGAAGTTTTGCTGAAAAGGCAACCGACAAAAGGCAGGTTAATAAGAAAAGGCATCCAGATTTATTAGTGAACACAGGGGGAAAATCGCAGAGTGATTACTCCTTACCCCTGATGGGGTAGAGAAGCTTGTATACCATTCTGAGATTATAGAAAAAATGAGGGCTCAGAGGATGGCCAAAACCAGGTTATGGCAGTAAATTAGCTTATGCTGGTAAGACAGGTTATGGGAGGGAGAGAAGAGAAGGCCTAGGTAGCAAAGATGGTCTTGTTATATAGATGACATGAAATTTTAAAGGTAAATGTTTCTTTCAGAACTTTAAATGTGTCAGAGTCTCAGTTAATGTTTCCTAGACCCAGCAAGGGAAGGCCCTTAGAGACAGCCTGGCTGTATCAATGTAGATTTTCTCTTCAAATGCAAATGTCCCCCCAAAAAGGCAGATTTTTAGCTATTTTTGTATTTTCCAGCCCTTCTGAATAGCCATCTTAAACTATGTCAAGGAAATATATTTTGAGGTGTAAAGTATTTTGGTTTCCTTAACAGATATGGAGAAGGTTTGAGTGGTCTTGTCCGACTCGCTACAACATTCCCTTAAGCCAAAACACCTAATTCAGAGCAAAGCCCTAACTCTCTTCAGTTCTGTGAAGGTTGAGAGAGGTGAGGAAGCTGCAGAAGAAAAGTTGGACACTAGCAGAGGTTGGTTCAAGGAGTTTAAGGAAAAAATCCATCTCCGTAACGTAAAAGTACAAGGTGAAGCAGTAAGTGCTGATGTAGGAGCTGCAGCAGGTTACCCAGAAGATCTAGCTAAGATCATTGATGAAGGTGGCTACACTAACAACAGATTTTCAATGTAGAAGAAACAGCCTTCTATTGGAAGAAGATGCCACCTAGGATTTTCAGAGCTAGAGAAGAGAAGTCAATGCCTGGCTTTGAAGCTTCAAAGGACAGGCTAACTCTCCTGTTAGGAGCTAGTATAGCTGGTGACTTTAAGTTGAAGCCAGTGCTCATTGGCCATTCTGAAAATCCTACGGTCCTTAAGGATTATGCTGAATTTACTCTTCCTGTGCTCTATAAATGGAAAAACAAAGCCTGGATGATAGCACATCTGTTTATAGCGTGGTTTACTGAATATTTTAAGCCCACTATTGAGACCAACTGCTCAAAAAAAGGTTCATTTCAAAATATCACTGCTAATTGACAGTGCACCTAGTTACCCAAGAACTCTGAGGAAGATGTACAAGGAGATTAATTTGTTTTCATGCATAACACCATCCATTCTGCAGCCCACGGATCAAATAGTAATTTCAACTTTCAGGTCTTATTGTTTAAGAAATACGTTTTGTAAGGGTATAGCTGCTCTAGATGGTGATTTCTCAGATGGATGTGGGCAGAGTAAACTGAAAAACTCCTGGAAGGGATTCACCTTTCTGGATGCCATTAAGAACATTTGCGATTTGTGGGAAGAGGTTAAACTATTGACGTTAATGGGAGTTTGAAAGAAGTTGATTTCATCCTTCATGGATGACTTTGAGGGGTTCAAGACTTCAGTGGAGGAAGTAACTGCAGATGTGGTGGAAATAGCAAGATAACTAGAATTAGAAGTGGAGCCTGAAGAAGTGACTGAATTGTTGCAATCTCATGATAGAACTTGAAAGGATGAGGAGTTGCTTCCTATGGATGAGCAAATAAATTGTTTTTTTGAGATGGAATCTACTCCTGGTGAAGATGCTTTTGAAATGGCAATAAAGTATTTAGAATATTATGTAAGCTTAGTTGATAAAATAGTGGCAACCTTTGAGAGGATTGACTCCAATTTTGAAGGAATTTCTACCATGGGTAAAATGCTATCAAACAGCATCTCATGCTACAGAGAGTCAGTTGATCTGACAAACTTCATTGTTGTCTTATTTTAATAAATTGCACAGCCACCCCAGACTTCAGCAACTATCACCCTTATTTGTCAGCAGCC